AACTCCCATTGTATATAAATTACAATAAAATATGTTTAAATCAAAGGTTGGAGCAAGTTAATCACTATATATATATTATATTCAAAACTACTAGTATATGTATACAACTGTCTTTGGCACTTCAAGTTTTAATGTCAATTTAGCACTCTAATCATTAATGCATTAATTAGCATAGAAAAATGTGATTTGTTTTCTACATTTAATTCAATTTCTACATGTGTTTGGTATGACAACTTTTCCTTTATTTTGCCAGGACCTTGGTAGACCTATTCACCCTCCATGGGAGCCTCGAAGAATTCCTGCTGGTAAGCACAAAGAAAACAGGATCAAGTTTAATATTCTGTTCATCACACATTTGATATTCTGTTCATCACACTTTTGATATTCTATTAAAACCAGCATTATTTGGAACTGAACCTTTTCTGAACATTCCAAAACCAATTCTCATGCTGGTTCTGTGATATTCAGATTCTGTGCTTGCGCTAAATCCTAGTTTAAGTGAGATATCACATTTTATACTTTGCCTAGACTTATTGCTGTTAGGATTTCTTATCATGGTTATTATTATCTTTTTATTTGAACCTATTAAAATATTTGGAACACATTCTTGTTGTGATTTGTCAATTATAATATTTGATCATTGTATATCTGTCAAAGACTTTCACTCAAAAAAGTTTTTTTTATATAAGCTTAATTTTTGATGTAATGTTCCATACCTCACAAATATGTGATAATTAATTATTTATCAAATGGACTGAAAATGCACATATCAGGATGGTGAGATTCAATATGCATCATTAAATACTGTATTAATTTTACAGCTTCTGAAGATGCACAAAGCCCTCTACCAGAACTGGAGGAGGTACGTTAAACAGCTCGGATTTATCTTTGTCTATTATTCCAATTCATTTGAGATGTAACACAGCATTTGATTGGTCAATCAAACTAACTTTGACCCCATAACCATGTAATTTGTTTCTCTTTGGAACAAGAAGCCCAGATGGTGATTGTTAATGAAAATGATTATAAGGTCATATACAATAGCATGGCCATGAAAGATAAATGTTATTCTGCCTCAATTTGGATGTCTCCGTGACATTAATATCTAATCCGAGTAGAGCAACCCAGATCTCTGTAAATTAAATAAAAATAACCAAAACTCTTTTTTTTTTGGCAGCCATTTACCGTAATTATAACTAATATAAATTGGAATGGTGATCATTATCGTCTTGACTGTCACAAATATCTGTTTTATGGTTTTGCTCTGTGTCAATGGTAAAACTCTGTTTGTGACAGTATATATAGCATATTGATGCTGCAAATCCCAAAAACAGAGAAAGATTGTCTCCTCATAGGAGTGGATCCTAGAGCTGCTTATTTACAGCAATTGATCTAGCTGCAGTTTAATTTGGGTTACCAGGTACCATTTCTTACCTGGCTGCTTTTGGGGTGTAATTATTACAGTCGCTGTCGTGCATTAACAATCAAACATTTTCAAACTTCTTCTTCAAGACAGCTCGTGTGATTCATTTCAAACTTGGTACAATTATCCCTTATGATGTCCTGACCAAGTGTTGTTATTTTTCATGCCAATCCGAAATTCCAAGACTGGTCTCTGATTGGCTGGGACATTTTTTTACTTATTCTCAAGAATGTTTTAAGCAATTGACTCCTACTTGGTATAATTGTTCCATTTGAGGTCCAGAACAAGTGTTCTTACTTTTGGTGCCGATCCCAAAAATTCAAGATGGACATCCTGGCCTCTGATTGGCTGAATCATTTTCAACTTCTTCTCACAAGAATGACTGCACCAAATGACCCAGTGCAGATGTAATAATTACAAACCTCATGCGTTTTACTCAATTGAGTGCTATTTGATTGGCCGAGACATTTTCGTCTTTTTTGAACTCATGTCAGCATTAAGGCCCTTTGGGCCTCTTGTATAAGGGTTACCACTAGATGCAATGCTATTTTGTGGTATCTAGCTACATAGGTACATAATCATGAGAGGGCAGCAAAGGGTACACTAAAACTTTGATGTTTCAAACTTTGCTGGACCTTCAGAGAAAATTTGCAATGTTGCAACTTTGACTCACAAATGTTGAACTTTGAATATCTTCCAAGATCCATGATGCATTAAGCTGAATGTGATTTAATTTGAAATTCATAAATATTGGATTGAATTTAATGGGGAAAATATGTTTACATGTACATGCATTTATTCACTGTAGTTTGCATCTTAAAGTATTACAATTTAAAGACATTTCAATGTTCTGGTATAGGTAATTGTTTTTCTTCCTTTATTATGTTATGTAGTGTGTAAATTTTGAATGTTTTGCTACCGATCGGACCTTGATTGTGGTTCGAAATAAGAAGAAATTTAGCTCATAATAGTTCGATTCGTTAGTGGAATATCAGTTGTGTTAAATAAGGAAAACATTCAGACATATCATAAGTTTGACATGCCGAGAAATTGGAATCTTTGAAGTTTGACTGTATGTACCCTTTCCTCGACCCTGTCCTATGGGAGAACACCCAAAAATCAGACAGTTATATTTCTACCACACGCATTCTGTGAATATCTGGGGAACGCTGCTATGCAATTGGACCAGAAAGCATAAATCAGCAGTTGTTGTATAATAACGTTTATGCTGTCCTGTGAACTGGCATGTATAGAATATAGGGAAAATGAAAGTTAATTAAATTCGGGATGGGGTCTCCAAATTTCGGACACCTGATTATGTATTTATACAAATGAAATAACGCATGCTGTTTTTCTTGGGAGGCTAACCATCAGTCATGTTTATTGTGGTATTTGTCCTACATATATTTTTAGCAATAAAATCTAAGGTTTCGAGTTACGACTTGGTTTATGTGCCACTCTATGGTCACTGAGATTTCTTGTCCTTTATTGTAGGTTGTCGTACACAACCTTTCTAGCAACAGAGATGAGCGATGTCCAAAAGGTAAAACTTAATTGTCGTGTAAAATACTTATCTCAGTCTAAAATAGACAATGCTGACTGGTAAAACATGTTAAAAGAAGAATACGTATGTAAAATGTAGTTCACGTTAACATAGATTTTTTTCTTAATGAAAAAGAAATCCCAATTCATAATTCTTAATCTTGAAATGTATAACAATGAGTTAAGCAAATTTCTCATTCTATTTACTAGCAGACCGTGAAAGGGTTGATGTTTATAGGCGCTCTGATGGTGCTGGCAAGGGCAACATGGTATGTATGATGGAACAGTAAACAATGGAACTTTGGTAATCTAGACACTGCCAGGCAACAGAATTACCAGGAGACACAATGCTCTGTTGTTCAGTTCTAAACTCATTCTTTTTTAACTTACCTCGCCAAAAGGGCTGTCTGAGATTACAAACATAATATTGCTGTTTAGCCCACCATAAGCAGATGTTTGGCTAATCAAATCACCCTTCGTCCATGGTTGGTCTTCCCTCTGTTCATGCATCCTTAACCCCCTCCCTTACAGGGCCCTAAAGGGAAAATTAATAAATATTTCATTTGCCCCTGGGCCATCTGTTCTCCCTTGGGGGTGGGTACATTTTACTATAGTTGATATTAGGAAATAACACTTTTGGATGTATTTTATCCATTTTCAGCAAGAAATTGTTCAAACTTGGTTGGAATGATTATGATGCCAGTTGACAACTAGATGGAATGAGAAAATAAGATCCTGTCCCATCCTGGGGGTCTGGAAAGGTGGGGGCCCGAGTGGGGAAAATGGTTAAAAGTTTTAAAAAATCTTCATCAAACTCAGATGTTTTACAATAAAATACTCTTCATTGATAGCAAGGTCCATAGGCAAGTATCTAAATTTTAAATTTCACCCACCCCCCTCCCCCCTCCCCCCAGGTCATCTGCTATCCCTTGGGGAGAGGGTTAAGTTCATTATAGTTTATGTAGGTAAAATAAATGTTTATCGCTGGCAGCAAAATTGCTCAAGCTAAAGACGACTGTCTTGTGGCCTTTGTTTTTTATACATGCACCAGGTAGTCCTCTTGGATTCTGCCATTTGAACTTTAGCAATCTTTGCCATTAACAATTCCAAAGTTAATCACATTGTAAGTGTGCATTTCATCATGTCTTGCCTACCAAAATTGGAATATTGATGACAGCGAATTCAATTTGTTCAGATAGCAAACGTGACAGGTGAGTGATACATGCGCAAAAGGCACATAACCTACCCAGACTATTAAAATATGTCACTTGTTTAATATATTTTAGGGAAATGCTTGGACTACACCAGGACCACCCCTACCAAGAATGGAGTACGAAGCAGGTATACCACCAGCTGCAGCTCGGACCAGCCCAGATAAGGTCGCTTGCAATGCAAGTACATAACAAAATTGGTAACATAAATACGGTTTAACAAATTTCAGGACTGTTTCAGCAAAGTTCAGGAACTATATCCAGCAAATTACAGGATT